AGCGAGAGCTCATTTTTCAATTGCAAACCTCAGCAACAGTAGCCACGCTAACCATGACGATGGACTCGTCCAGTCTTCTCCAAGTCGGTCTCGCTTCGTCGCTGCGCACGGGCCATTTTCTACTTGACGCGGGCATCTGTCTCCTCCTCCCCGTTCTCTTTTCGTTCCTTTTTGCGTCCGAGTCGTCCACCTCATGGGCCGAGTCGTTCGACAAGCTCCTCGTGTGCCTCGGTGTAGCGCCCCGCCGCGTCGTCCGCGTCATCCAAACCAAGATTCGCATCGGCACCTTTCGTACGACCTACAACGACTCGGAACACAGCCATCTCTTGCAGCGTGCAATCGCCTACTACTTAAGCTCGACGGTCGACATGGCGTCAAAGTGCACCGCTCGCCTCGAGCTTGTCACGGGTTTGAACGCCGTGTCCAGGCTCGAACCCGATGCGCCGACCAAGGAGCCGAGCTCATTTCGCGATCCGGTGCCCAGCCCCGACATCACGATGCTAGAAATTCACGCTCTTCCGCCGCTTCGCGAGTGGATCGACGTGGCCCCCGAGATTGCACTTTACCACGAGATTGACGACCATTCGACGCAGCGTCAAGGGCGGTCGGACAGCGACGAGAAGTGTACCACCGTGAAGTACAAGCTTCGGTCGTTTGCACCCGACGGAGCAGCGCGCATCAACGCATTTGTCGACAAGGCCTTTGCATCGTACCAAGATGCGATCGTCGCCCAGAAGCTCCGGGACAAGACGCGGTACATGTACGTTGCGGCGCAGACACCAGTGGCAACGACGACGGGCACGGACGCGAAACCCATTGTGCCGCTCTCGTCCTTTAGGCGCTATGCGTTGAGCGACCACAAGACGTTCGACAGTCTCTTCTTCTCGTCCAAGACCTCGCTCCTCGATCTCCTCGACACGTTTACGGCCAAGAAAGGCAAGTACGCCATCCAAGGGTTCCCCCACAAGCTCGGGTTCCTGCTCCACGGGCCACCGGGCACAGGCAAGACGAGTCTCATCAAAGCGATTGCGCAGTACACCAAGCGCCACATCGTCAACATTTCGCTCGCAAATGTCAAGACAAACCAAGAGCTCATGGACTACATGCTCGATCTGCGCATGAACGTACCAGGCGAAGACATGCCAATCAAGCTGAGCTACGACAAGGTGGTGTTTGTGATGGAAGACGTTGACTGCGCGTCCGAGGTCGTCCATGCGCGCAAGGACGTTGCCTCTGCAGTCGAGCCGGTGGTCGTCGAGCCGACGGCTTCGTTTGGCAGCACGGTGATCACGCTCGCCCAGCCCCAAGACAAGTGTGTCGTGCATGATGGGCTCAACCTGAGCGGCCTCCTCAACGTACTCGACGGTGTTGTCGACATGTCGGGCCGCATCCTCATCATGACGTCCAACCACCCCGAGAAGCTCGACCCGGCGCTCATTCGCCCTGGCCGCATCGACGAGCAGCTGTACATGGGCGTCATGGACGCTACCCAAGCCACGCTCATGGTGCAGCACTACTTTGCGACGACGTTGACGACCGACGAGAAAGATGAGATTGAGAATGCTGTCACCAAGTGCGCGATATCGCCCGCGCAAGTCGAGAACCTCTGCGCCAAGCACCGCGACCTCCACGACATGCTCACTGCGTTGACGGCCCATGCTGACATGTCGTTCTAAGACCATTTTGCTCCTCTGACTCTGTCATACATCACCAACGCTGACTTTAAAATGTGATAACATGGCTAATGTTGCTATCAGGAACCTCTACGTCCTCGCACGATCTACTACGCGACAAATAGGAATGGATTCCACGCGACGTAGCTCATTTCCAACGACCAAGCCAACTTCCATACACTTGGGCGTACCGTGATATATTCAACGTCATTGCGTTCGTGATTGTCGTAAAAAGGTTGGTCAGAGGGCAAATGGGTTGATGTGATCTCAGTGTTTGGGCTCCTTGGTTTTGGGGTTCTGTCGTTGTCTTGGTTCCTGGAAGCAAGGGTCAATTAACCTTTGCTGGAAGCTGCTCCTGAAGCGAAGCTTGGGCTCGCGATCAGCATCACCTCCAGGAACACTCAAGGAACCTTCCGCAATGGAATTTTATCCGGATATGTCATTTCCCGTTTGACGCACGAGATGACCACGGACAACCGAGCGGCAATGTGGCAGCAATCGCCGATTGCGCTGCAGATTCTGCACTACCTCGACGACGACGATGACGCACACGCCTTTCTTCAAGCGGCGCCCAATGGCAGCCTTGATGACGCGCTCGACGCGCTACGGACGCTCTTGGCCATGGACGTGGAGCTGCCACTCTGGCCCACGCCGCACGCCGCCAGTCTCAACAAAGCCTACTACGTCGATCCTGGTGTCGTCACGAATGCGCTCTCTGCTTTCAAGAAGATTACTTTTGTGAGCGGTCAGGAGCTTTTGCGCATTTGCCACAACACGGTCCTGTCACCAACGACGGCCGTGCACGCAAACTTTCGAGACCATGTCCTTAGCGTCCGCGCGGCACTAGGCAATTGGCTGCCCAACCTCGTGAATCTTCGGGTCGCGGGTCTGGACTTTGTGGACTTTGTGGCCGTCATCAAGACCGATCTCTCGGCTTGCCATGGCCTGCGTACACTGACGATGAGCCAAGAAGAGGCGGTAGACCAAGGCACCTTTGACGCTGTCCTGACGGCTGTCGTCGCAAATTGCCCCCACGTCGAACGCATCAGCGTCAGCTCGTCCGAAATTTCGCACATGTCGGACGGCAGAACCCTCCTCACGTGGCTGGCGCTGCCAACCGCGCGTCATCTGGAGCTGGACAGTACCGACTTTCAAGGCGCGCTTGGCACAGACCTTGCAGCGGCAATTCTAGTGTCGAATACGCTGGAGACGATCGAGTTGCTGCAAGTCTCAAGCCTTGTACGCGCGGTGACGAGTTTGTCGTCGCCGCCACTGCCCCAGCAACTGCGGCACTTGGTGATCTGGGACTATTTACTAGAAGACGACAGCTACGATTCGAACAATGACGACGACGCCGCCGCCCCACCACCGGCATTTGACGAAGCGGACATGGCTGCCCTCGCCGCCAAGATCGCGACATCGCGCCTCGAAAGCTTGCGTTTGTGGCTACGAGCGCCGTGCGATGCCGCGTCAGTCCTTTCCATCTTGCTGGAGGTACCAACACTAACCAAATTTGCGCTCCAGGAAGCGACTCTGACCTCGTTTCCGCCTCTGATGCAGATTTTGCATCTCGAGCTGAGCTGGGTAACGTTATCAGACGAGGCCATCGTGTCGCTCGCGGCGCTGCTTCGCTCGTCGCCCAAGCTCGTGCAGCTTGATCTTGGCAACCACCAGCTTCCAGACCACCAAGCCAACACGATCATGCGTGCATTGCCACAATGGCTGAGCCATCGAGGTTCTGCATGCAGCGTCTACCTTGCGATCAAGAGCGATGCGTGTGCCAGTGCTTTTGCGACGGCACTCGCGCAGACACGCAACACACACAAGGTCACGATCACAGTCTCGGCCTACGGCCTCTCCCTCGCAGCCAAAAAGCTTGTCGTCGCGGCGCTAGCGTTGACGTGGCAGATGTCGCTGTCTTTTTTCGGTCCCGATTCTCTCGAAGACATTGCGCTGGAAGCGTACGGTCGGCAGCACCATCTGACAATCACATATCGCAAGATGCACGAAGCCAAGCTGCACTCGTTCCACTCGCCGCGTACGACGACGACCTACTAGCGACTTTGAGATGCACCACGCCGCCGTAGCACATAACACTCCCCGTACCAATTGCGTGTTTTCGCGTCCAGAAGGAGGAGCAACCTTCTCACATGTGGTTTTCAGGTCTTGCGAGAAGGAGACCATTTTGGGCTGCCTGTCCTGCCTTAGATGGCCCTGTCGTACGTGTGCTTCAACAATTATCGGTTCTCGCGGTCACGGATTCCAAGTTGAAGAACACAATATGTCGCTAGTTTGTTATTTGTAAATGCGTCGAGGTCGTTGGCGAGAGGAACGAGTACCCTTTGATACCGACGCCGTGCTCCGCGCTTAAGGCTTCTAGCTCTTGTTTGGCCGTACTACCATGGAAAGGAGAGATCGTGAAGAGCACGGCCATACGCGATGTTGATCCGAGCGCCGCGACAAGGTGCTTTGTTGCTTCTAAGGAAAGGCCAGAGCTCCAGACCCAAAACTTGACCCTGTGCGAATTGCGCGTCCGCGTGAGCGCCGTCGCAAAGGCGCGGGCATGCGCATCACTCTTGATACCAAGGCGAATCTTGCATGTCGTACCTCGATGACTCAGCCACGCGGGCAGCGCATCAAAAATCATTTTGGCTTGGTGGTCTGGGAGCTCGTCGTACCAAAGATCAAGCTCCACGAGCTTTGGGGACGAGCAAAGCAACGCCGCTAGCGACGCGATAGCGTCGTCCGAAAATGTCACGTGGTTGAGCGTGAGATGCCAAAGGTGGCGCAGTGGCGGGAACGACGTCACGTGCGCCGTCCGAAGCACGAGTTTGGCCAACTTTGGGAGCTGCAACAAGGCAGTCACGACCGGCGTGAGATCGCATGGGACTTCCAAATGCAGCTCCAGACTCGCCAGGTCCGAGGTCGCGATCTTGGCTGCGAGTGCCACCGTGTCCGCTGGGCTGAATGGCGGTTGGGAAGCGTCGTCGTCGGAACAGCGCGATCTGTCAAAGTGCATACGCAGGTGGCGCAGCTGGTGGGGCAGTCGTGGCGATGACGCGCGCATGACGACGCGTGCAAGACTTGGCATATCGATAAGCTCTATCGTTTCGAGCGTCGCCGACGACAGTATTGCTGTCGCTACCTCGTCATCGGCGTCGTCTCGGAAGTCGACGAGATCGAGGCGGAGATGGCGCGTCGCCGGACGTGCGAGCCACGCGACGAGGGGCTTGCTGTTTGAATAGTCGCTGGATGGACCAAGACTAAGACATTCGAGCTCGGGGCACATCACAGAGACGACGGTCAGCAAATCGACACCGTCGTATGAGTAGAACGGATCGCATTGGTCCAAATAGAGCCCGCGTAGGCGCGGACACGCTTTGAGAGCCTCTTGTACTACAGTGTCGGAGCTCAGAGAGTCATCACTTTCGAGCGTGAGGAACTTGACATTCGGGAGCCAGCGGCCCAAACCAGCACGGACATTGGTAACTTCGTACTTGCTTGGGAGTTTTCTGCCCCGCAATGAATACGAACGCCCAGCGTGGAACACTGATGCATGAACGACCGTCGTCGGTGGCAGCGTCGTGCCGTGACAAATTTCGTAAGTGTGATAAAAACCTTGGTCGTACTCGACTTTCAGCGTCGCGAACGCTGGGAGCGCCCGCGCCACGACGCTCGGCCAGCTGCCGTATGCGCCGTCCAGGTCTCCAATGTAAGGAGTTGGCCACCGCGCAAATGTGTAGTCGTTCGTCAAACAAAGAAGTGTCCGAAGCGAGTCGAGCGCGTCGTCGAGCGTGCCATCGGGTGCCGCGGCAAGAAACGCGTACACATCGTCAGCGTCGTCGAGGTAGTGCAGAACCTCCAGCACAAGGTGTGGTAGCAGCCATGGCGCCGTCGTTACCCTGACTCGTGTCGCGTTGGTCGTCATGTGGGAAATTGCGTAATGGAAAAAACTCGGTGGCTCGTTCAACTTGATCATTTTCATCAACTTTTTTCATCACGGATGCACATTTATCATCGTTCTTGTGTCGAACGCCTTTGATTTGAGCTCGAGCCACGGCTGCGACGATAGCTGAAATACGCAACTTCGAGTGTTTCATGCCCATGCACGCTAGTTGTACCAACTTGCAGCGTCCAAAAAATGGTTTGCACGTCGTTTTTCCACATCAAAAGTGAAGCGCCAAAAATACTCAAAGAACCTTCTGGGAACCTTCCCAGCCGCGCCCGCCCCGCCCACAACACACCAAATGACCGCTGACAACCGAGCGACATCGGCGCCATGGCTGCTGCCGCCGATCGCGCTGCAGATTCTGCACTACTTCGACGACACCGACGACGCACGCGCCTTTCTTTTAGCAGCGCCCAACGACAGCCTCGATGACGCGCTCAATGCGCTCCGGATGCTCTTCGCCATGGGCCTGGAGCTGCCGATGTGGCCGACGCCACGCCTGTCGAGTCTGGACGCGGCCTATCACGATTGCCCCAACATCGTCACGAAAGCGCTTCCTCTCTTCAAAACGATAGCGGTCGATTGCAGCCAGGACTGCTCGAGCATTTGCCAAATCACAGTCCTGCCACCGACGACCGTCGTGAGCGCTGTCGTCCAATACGACGTCACCAGCGTCTGCACCGGCCTCGGTAAGTGGCTTCCGAATCTCGTGAATCTCATGGTCACGACACCATCCCATGTGGACTTCGCGGCTGTCGTCAAGGACAGCCTCTCGTCGTGCCCGCGCCTGAGGTCGCTGACCATAAACCAAGACGACGTGCTTACGCAAGATACGTTTGACGCTGCGCTGATCGCTGTTGTCGCAGCGTGCCCCCAGGCCGAACGCATCGTCATGAATTCGACCAAACGCTCGCCCCTGTCGGACTGCAAAACGCTTCTCGCTTGGTTGGCGCTGCCGACTGCGCGCCATCTTGAGCTCAATGGCACCGACTTTCAAGGCGAGCCGAGTGCCGAGCTCGCGACGGCTATGCTCACGTCGACTAGACTGGAGACAATCGAGCTGCTCGAAGCCCCGAGCCTTGCGCGCGCGATCTTAAGTCCATCGTCGCCACCACTGCCCCGTCAACTGCGTCACCTGGCGATTTGGGACTATACGCGGGACATGAATGACGTCAGCCCACCGCTGGCTTTTGACGAAGCGGACATGGCCGACCTCGCCGCCAAGATCGCAAACTCCCACCTCAAAAGCTTGGATTTGTGGCTTGAAGCTCCGTGCGATGCCACGTCCGTCCTTTGTGTATCGGCCCACATACCAACACTGACCAAATTAGCGGCCAGGAAGGCAACTCTGACCTCGTTTCCGCCTCTGACGCAGCTTTTGCATCTCGAGTTGAGCTCGGTGACGCTCTCGGACAAGGCCGTCGAGTCACTAGCGGCACTGCTTCGCTCGTCGCCCAAGCTGGTACAGCTTCACCTTGGCAACGACCCGCTTCCGATCTCCCAAGCCAATACGATCTTGCGCGCGCTACCGCAATGGCTAAGCCACCGAGGTTCTGCATGCGGCGTCCACCTTGCGATCCAGAGCGATGCGTGCGCCACTGCGTTTGCTGCAGCGCTGGCTCAGACGAGCAACACGCACAAGGTCAAGATCACGGTCTCGGCTCGCGGTCTCTCGGTCAAAGCCAAGACACGCATTGTCGCGGCGTTAGCGTCGACGTCGCGAATGGCACTGGTTTTCAGCGGATTCCAAAATCTAATGGAAGACGCAGATCTGGAAGCATGTGGACGGCAACACCATTTGACGATCGTGTATCTCAAGCAGCACCCTCGGGACATCAAGCACACCTGGTTCCACTCGCCACGCAAGTAATAAAATCGTTTCTCGCAAGGAGAGCCCGCGCAAAGCCACGCAGTGTTGCTTTTACTCGAACAACAACCAAGTGGCGCATCGCTGTATTATATTTTCACAATGGCGAGCGTGCTCAGGGGGCAATGGGCGTTCATTACTGCCAGGACCTCGGGTGAGGTGAGGCGGGTTGCTTGGTATAAGTCGAGCTCTAAAATGCTAGCTCTACGACCAGCTCTAAAATGCTAGCTCTACGACCAGCTCTAAAATGCTAGCTCTACGACCAGCTCTTCAACGGCGCTAGATGCCACGTGAGTGCGGGAATTGCCACGCGTGGGAAATATGTGGGAAACGCACCGTGAAGCAGAGTATTTCACATGTTTTACACGTTGCCATTGAAAATGACCACCGACAACCGAGCGGCAATATGGCTGCTATCGCCGATCGCGCTGCAGATTCTGGACTACCTCGACGACGGCGACGACGCATACGCCTTTCTTCAAGCTGCGCCCGACGGCAGCCTCGATGACGCGCTCGACGCGCTACGGACGCTCTTGGCCATGGACTCGGAGCTGCCACTCTGGCCCACGGCCCACATTGCCAATCTCGACAAGGCCTACAGCATGAGTCCTGGCGTCGTCACAAGGGCGCTTCCAGCGTTCAAGAAGATAACTGTCGCTTGCAGCCAGGACTGCCCGAGCATTTGCCACAACACGGTCCTGCCACCGACGACTGCCGTGAGGTCGAGCGTTCGAGACGACGTCACCAGTGTCCGCGCAGCCCTTGGCAAATGGCTTCCGAACCTCGTGGATTTCAGGATTGTGAGTCCTTCTTCCGTGGACTTTTCGGCCGTCGTCAAGGACAGCCTCTCGTCGTGCCCGAGCCTTTGTTCGCTGACCATGGACCAGCAAGAGGTTTTTACGCAGGATGCATTTGACGCAGCACTGACGGCTGTCGTCGCAACTTGCCGCCACGTCGAACGCATCAGTATCAGTTCGTCCAAAATCTCGCACATGTCGGACTGGAGAAGCCTCCTCACGTGGCTGGCGCAGCCAACTGCGCGTCATCTGGAGCTGGACAGTACCGACTTTCCAGGCGCACTTGGCACAGACCTCGCAGCAGCAATGATAGTGTCGAATACGCTGGAGACGATCGAGTTACTTCATATGCCGAGCCTCACACGCGCAGTAACGAGTCCGTCGTCGCCGCCGCTTCTTGAGCAACTGCGGCACTTGGTGATCTGGGACTACATACCGGAAGACGACTACGATACCTACGACGACGACGACGATGACATCATTCCACCGCCGGCGTTTGATGAAGCGGATATGGCCTCGCTCGCCCGCAAGCTCGCGACCTCGCGCCTCGAAAGCTTGGATTTGATGCTCCGAGTTGCTTGCGATGCCACGTCAGTCCTTTTCATCTTGCTGGAGGTACCAACACTGACCAAATTTGCGCTCCAGGAAGCGAATCTGACCGCGTTCCCACCTCTGATGCAGCTTTTGCATCTCGAGTTGAGCTCGGTAACGTTCTCGGACGAGGCCATCGCGTCGCTCGCGGCGCTGCTTCGCTCGTCGCCCAAGCTCGTGCAGTTGGATCTTGGCAACGACGAGCTCCCGATCTCCCAAGCCGACACGATCTTTTGCGCGCTGCCGCAGTGGCTGAGTCGTCGTGGGACAACATGCGGCGTCTACCTTGCGATCAAGAGTGATGCGTGTGCTAATGCTTTTGCAACGGCACTCGCTCAGGCGCACAACGCACACAAGGTCAAGATCACGGTTTCGGCATACGGCCTCTCGCTCGCAGCCAAGGCACTCGTTGTCACCGCGCTGGCGTCAACAGCGCGGATAGCGCTGGTGTTTAGCGGACCCCAAGATCCCAAGATCGATGCGGCACTGGAAGCGTGTGGTCGGCAACATCATTTGACAATCGTGTATCGCAAGGAGTACCCTCAGACGGCCAGGCAGACCTGGTTCCACTCGCCACGCAATGCATTGACGACCTACTAGCGACTTGGTGAAATGAAACAGCGATTTAATGTCAAATTCTCAGGTCTGAGGTCGCCATCTTCCCAGTGTTGGGTCCAAAAAGCGAGTCGCTATCGATGATCCGGTGCGCAATGAAAACGTCGCAACTCATCCGTTCAATCAGATGCGACCTTGGGACACTTGTTCATGAATGCCCCGTCCAATGTGGTTGTCTTGACGAGGGTGTCGCCTTGGCTCGTGGGAAGATCGTCTTGTGCAAAAGCACACCAGGTGAAAAACTCACGTGCACATCATTTTACAATCGGCATACTTCCTGTTTCTTCTCCCAAGATGCTTCCTCTCACGCGTTGGATCGCAGCCGGGCACATATTCGAATATAGGTGTATCCAAGGAAGCACGCTCGTGTTCGGACTGCTTCCATACTCAGTACCACGAGTTTTGCGATGGCGTGCATTTTGACGTGTAAAATGTGTGAATGGCGACCGAAGCACGTTCACGGTTCGTGTGTTTTCAGAGCAAAACATATGTAAGAACACGCAAGGAACCTTCCGCAAGCCAACAGTGCTCCACAACCCGTTCAAAGAGTCTTCATTTTGGCACTCACGGGATGACGATCGACAAACGAGCGACGTCGGCGCCGTGGCTGCTGCCGCCGATCGCGCTGCAGATTCTGCACTACCTTGACGATGCTGACGACGCACGCGCCTATCTTCAAGCAGCGCCAGACGGCAGCCTCGATGACGCGCTCGACGCGCTACGGACGCTCTTGGCCAAAAACAAGCTGCTTTCCCTGTGGCCGATGCCGCACATTGCCAGTCTGGACAAAGCCTACTACGCTGATCCAACCGTCGTGATGAGAGCGCTTCCTCTCTTCAAGGAGATCACGTTCACTAGCCGCCGAGCCGGTTGGACCATCTGCGAAGGTGCCCACGCGATAGTTCTGCCACCGACGACTGCCGTGATCGCCGACGTCAACCTTGAGGTCGTTGGTAGCGTCCGTGAAGCGCTCGGAAAGTGGTTGCCGAACCTCGCGGCTCTTAACATCGGAAACGAACTGTACCAGGACTTGGCGGCCGTCGTCGCGGACAACCTCTCGGCATGCCATGGTCTCCGCACGCTGTCCCTGCATCAAGAAGAGGAGCTGGACCGAGAGTCGTTTGTTCATACACTAACGGCTATCGTCGCAACATGCCCGCAGGTCGAACGTATTAGCGTCGGTTCCTCCAGCTACTCACCCGTGTGGGACTGCAAGGCGCTCCTCGCTTGGCTGGCGCTGCCCACCGCACGTCATCTTAAGCTAGACGGCACCGACTTCCAAGACGAGTCCGGCTTCGAGCTGGCGATGGTCATGCTCACGTCGAGTACGCTCGAGACGATCACGCTCTCGGATGTTCCGAGTCTCACGCGTGCGGTGGTCTCTCCGTTCTCGCCGCCGTTGCCCCAGAACCTGCGGCACTTGACCATTATCGACTCCATGTTGGCCCAGGAGCCCGGTAAGGACGACACGTTCAATGATATGTACGGCAATGGCGAGGACGACGATGTCGTCGATCCACCGCTGCCGTTTAATGACGGGGACGTGGCCGCGCTCGCCGCCAAGCTGTCGACTGCCTCACGCCTCGAAGGCTTTAGTTTGACGGCGCCAACGTTTTGCGATGCCACGCCGCTTGTTAACGTCTTGGTGCAGCTACCGACGTTGAATCGTCTCTTTTTGTGTGACGTGCACCTGACGTCGTTCCCGCCACTGCGTCCGCTTTTGTATCTCCACCTCGTCTCGGTGACGTTCTCGGACAAGGCCATTGAGCACCTGGCGACTCTGCTTTTCTCGACGCCCAAGCTGCTGCAGCTGGACCTCAGCTACCAATACAACCCGCTGCCCGATGGCCAATTCAGGACGATCTTGCGTGCGCTGCCTCAATGGTTGAGCGGTCGCAGTGCCGTGTGCCGTGTCAACATTTCGATGGCGGGCAATGCGTGCGCCAGTGACATGGCAGCTGCGCTTGCCCAGACGCGCAATTCGCACAAAGTCAAAATCATGCTTCGTACCAATGGTGTCTCGCTGGACGCCAAGAAGCAGCTTGTCGCGGCGATAGCATCGACGTCGCAGATGGCGCTCTTCATCGACGGAGCCAATCGTCTTGAAGAGGACGAGCTGAAAGCGTACGGTCGACAACTGCGTCTCCAGATCACAACTCGCAAGGACCATCCGGGCTGGCCCAAGCAGTGCTGGTTCCACTCGCCACGTACATTGACCGACTAGCGACGCCGCATGACTACATCGTAGCTTGAAAAACAATCTCAATACCATTCGTCGTTGTTTTTAATACTAGTATGGCGTCGGTAGGCAGGTGTCACCAGGTGAAAAACTCGCGTGTGAATCAAGGATTCTCTCTCGATGTTTTTCCTGCTTCTCCAACGATCCACTGTTACGAAGTATATGTATAGTACCTTGCGCTGTGAACCGCAGCCGCACATATTCCAATCCATGCAGGTACATGCAAGTCAGGAACATCTATGTCCCTCTTGCAAGGAAGCTCGCTTGACATGCTTGTGGACCAACGCGATCCGACGGTGTAAAACATGACGCACGGTGCATTTCACGTGTTTTTCACGGCAAAACACCGTGAGGAACACTCGAGGAACCTTCTTTCACAACGTGGTATCCGGATTTCATTTGGGTGAGCACAAGATGATGGCGGACAACCGATCGACATCGGCGCCATGGCTGCTACCGCCGATCGCGCTGCAGATTCTGCACTACCTCGACGACGCCGATGACGCACACGCATTTCTTCAAGCGGCGCCCAACGACAGCCTTGATGACGCGCTCGACGCGCTACGGACGCTCTTGGCCATGGACGTGGAGCTGCCGCTCTGGCCCACGGCCCACATTGCCGGCCTGGACGAAGCCTATACCAGTGTCTTCGCGACAGCGCTTCCATTGTTCAAGACGATTACTGTCACGAGCAGCCAGAATAACTGCAAGATATGTCATGCGACGGAGCTACCGCCGACAACCGCATTGAGCGCCACCGTGGAGGACGGCGTCATCAGCGTCCGAGCTGCCCTCGGCGATTGGCTCCCACGCCTCGTGGATCTCAAAGTCATGAGCGGAAACGATCTGAACGCTGTGGCACTTGTCAAAGATGACCTCTCGGCATGCCATGACCTCCGTGCGCTGACCATGAACCAGGAAGATGGGCTTGGCCAAGACGCCTTTGACGCTGCGCTGACGGCTGTCATCGCAACGTGCCCGCAGGTCGAACGTATCTGCGTCGGTTCGTCCAGTCTCTCGTACATGTCGGACTGCAAGCACCTCGTTGCGTGGTTGGCGCTGCCGTCCGCGCGCCATCTCAAGGTGGAGTGTACCGACTTTCAAGACGAGCTCGGTGCTGAGCTGGCGGTGGCCATGCTCACGTCGACTACGCTCGAGACGATCGAGCTATCTGAGGTGCCGAACCTCACGCGCGCGATTCTTTGTCCGTCGTCGCCGCCGATGCCGTCGCAACTGCAACACCTAACGATCTGCGACTGTATGACGACTGGCGGGTACGATTCATGGGACGACGGCAACAACACTACTGTGGATCCTCCATCGGCGTTCGACGAATCAAACGTGGTCGACGTTGCCACCAAGATTTCGACTGCTTCAAGCCTCAAAAGCTTGGACTTGTGGTCTCGAACGTCGTGCGATGCAACTCCAGTCGTCAACATATTGCCGCAGCTACCGACATTGACCAAGCTCGCGCTTCAGGACGTGCATTTGGCCGCGTTTCCGTCACTGCGTCAGCTTTGGCATCTTGAACTGTGGTGGGTGAGCTTCTCGGATGACGCCATCGCGTCGCTCGCAACGCTGCTTTGCTCGTCCCCAAAGCTGGTGCACCTCGATCTTCGCAACAGACACCTCCCCGATCACCAAACCAAAGCAATTTTGAGCGCGCTGCCAGACTGGCTAAGCCGCCGCGGGACAGCGTGCGACGTCCGTCTGACAATCAAGTCTGATGCGTGTGCCGTTGCATTTGTGACGGCCCTCGCTCAGACACGCAAC